CTTCGCCCGCGTGATGGACTGCAAGGACAGCGTCATCGAGGTGATGCGTGGGGCTGGGGGGGTGAATTTGGCACCACGGGGGCCTGCCTGTGACCCCCCCTTCAATACCAGCAGTCCTTGGCTACAGACCTGGAGGAGGCGGAGGAGCAGCATGCCCGAGCCCTGTGCAGCCACCTCTGCAACGTCGACCGCCTGCTGCAGCTCCAGCGCTGCCGCCTGACGTGCCTGGAGGAGGGGTACAACGCCCAGCTGGACGCGCTGAAGACAGAGTTTGAGGCTGAGCGGTACAGGAGTTTGAGGCTGAGGAGGGGAGAGGAACAGCAGTGGCGCCCACTGGCTATCCTGTCCTGGCGCTGAGCCCTCTTAGGGACCAGTCAGGACCACCGCGGGTTCCATCTGTCGGCAGCTCCCCCGTGTTTTCCACAGGGTGACCATCCTTGAGCAGCACGAGCGAGAAATGCGCTACCTGCGGGACGTGATGCTGGACGTGGAGCAGAACCACACCATAAACAACGACAAGGCCACCCAGAAGTTCCACAGCGCCCAAGCCGACATCAAAAACAAGGCACGAGGAGGAACTGGCGAGGAGCCCTTTGGATGAGAGGTGAGATTTGGGAGGTGCTGGGTCACCCACACCCGTATCTGTCCCCAGAACCTGCAGGAGAAGCAGTACTGCCGCATGCAGCTGGGCATCGAGCTGGAGCAGCGCTGGGACCAGTTCCAGCAGGCCATGCAGAACTACGCCGAGGCCACCAAGCAGCAGAAGATCACTTTTAAAGTGCTGAAGGAGAAGAACAAGAAGAGCTCCAGGGAGATAAAGAAGCAGGCCAATAAACTGCAGAAGCTCCAGGTTGTGGCGGGAAGTGGGAGAGGAGATATCCCCCCGTCCTGGCTGCTCACATTCCACCTGTCCCCAGGACTTGGTGACGGCCACCAAGGGCCAGCTCACGGCTCAGCGCCGGCAGAGTGAGGAGCAGAACCGGCGTGCGCGGGAGGAGAAGGAAAGGATCCTCAGGCAGCTCCAGGAGCTCACAAACGAGATGAACCGGGCCCGGGTGAAAGCCCGCGGTG